CAGACGAATCTCCAGCTAGCGTGGCCGTGACGAACTCTAGCTCAAGTCCCTTCACTGCCGTCAACATGACTTAAGAAATCGTAATGACACGATTGCAAATAAACCATACCAAACTTGCATTTGTGGTCACAGAGGTGCCTGTGCTAACTTTCCTATGGTGTAGAAATATACCTAGTTGGATGAATCTTATTGTGGCTAGCTGGTCTAGTGGCTAGCGCGACGGGCTGGAGTTTTGAGACTCTATGACCGCGGGTTCAATCCCGGCCGGGGGTATGGTTTATTTGCAATCGTGTCATTACGATTTCTTAAGTCATGTTGACGGCAGTGAAGGGACTTGAGCTAGAGTTCGTCACGGCCACGCTAGCTGGAGATTCGTCTGTAAAAACTTGCATTTGTGGTCACAGAGGTGCCTGTGCTAACTTTCCTATGGTGTAGAAATATACCTAGTTGGATGAATCTTATTGTGGCTAGCTGGTCTAGTGGCTAGCGCGACGGGCTGGAGTTTTGAGACTCTATGACCGCGGGTTCAATCCCGGCCGGGGGTATGGTTTATTTGCAATCGTGTCATTACGATTTCTTAAGTCATGTTTACCACAGGAACTTTACTAGGAAGTTTTTTTGGAGCCATGGTTACTTATTTTGCAGTTGCACTGCAAAAAAACACAAAAAACAATGGAAAACCAGCAATATGTTTGGATGTATGAGCAGAAGTTTCCTTACACACCGAGAGACACAGCCAGACTGATGAGCAAGTGGCCCCAGCCGGTGGACAGACATGTCCGAAATGGCTGATCTCCGAAATAACGGCCAATCATTGAGAGCTGAAAAACTGGCTGATGACCTAGTTGGCCGATATCCGAGGGTCCATTGTACTTACTGTATTATATTCTGTCAAAGGCACAAACTGTAACCTAATGGAACTCCTTCTCGAACCATGGTTTGTAAATTGACAGTCTGACACTCTACCAACTCGGCTACCCGGGCTTCTAACAGGAAGGATCTCAAACTAATATTTACTGTATTATATTCCAGCAGAGGCACCAGCTAAAACCCAAGTGAACTCTTTCCTTCAGCCCAGTAGCTCAGTTGGGTTACAGTTGATGCCCCTGATAGAATATAATACAGTAAGTATGTTCTGGATCCTTCCTGTTAGAAGCCCAGGCAGTCAAGATGGCAGAGCGTCAGATTGTCAATTTACAGACTGGGGTTCAAGCCCCATGTCCTCCCTTCTGTTTATTCACTGACAGTTGTTTATTACAACTTAATTGGAGCTCATGGTACACTAAGTTTAAAGCCAATACATAGTATGCAAAGCATTTCAAGCAAACTTAGACTGAGATTCAGACTATACTTAACACTAAATGACTGCATAGTTTTGTGGAGTTTTATGCTTATGGATCTGGTACAAGGTATTGACAGGATGTTATAAATAATTGTGATGATGAAAGTTACAGGATTAGTATTAAAAATTTGAAAATACAGGTCTCACTCAACATTTGCGTTTTCCACTTTCGCGGGCTTCGAACATTTGCGAATTCCCAGCTGCCCAATTATATTTCAAATATGTCATTGCATATGTTTGGAATTGTGGCAGTGGCAGAGTTTGTTTGGAGATAGGATAGGCTTATTTTTTTTTTTTTTTTTCAACAAGTCGGCCGTCTCCCACCGAGGCAGGGTGACTTATTTATCTATCACAATTTATCTAATATGACATAATAAACAATATTAATGACATAGAAACATGATATATACTCTTAGAATGAATAAAATATGTCATTATGTCATGAGTGTTGCTGTGTTATTGTTGTTGGGTGTATAAGGGCCACTGGTGGAGGCGACATCAGAGGCCGAAGAGACTAGAGACAGGTGTTGTCAGTCGCCCTATGTAACTCCAACAACATTGGAGGAGTTAGGTTTGTGCTGTCCTTTTTCTATCGATTAATCGCTTAAGTTACTTGCTACATTGTTAATGCTACGCTTTATCGCTGGCTGGCGCTATAGCCTCTATCGACTCGTGCTGTTCTAGTATTGTACATATCATAGAATCACTGAAGCACTGAAGAAGGCACATTCTCCCCTCTCTCTCTCCTCCTCCACTTTAGTACTCTGCTACAAGTTCTTTCTTGAATTCTATAGTTTTTCTCACCTTTACCAAAGGTCTGGCACTAGTACAATATTTTATGATGTTTTCATGTGTTTTATGATTGTTCATGGTTCAGTAGGTTAAGGAAGCAGTATTGTATTATATTTCCCTACAATATATTGGGGTACCAAACATTCGCGAGGCTCTTGTTCCCCTAACTCTTGCGAATGTTGAGGGAGACTTGTATAATAATAAATTAGAAAAGGTTGATTGGTAGTTTATGAAATTAAAATGTAAGACTGATTTACAGTTAGAGATTGTTCAGTGTTATATTAAATGACAAGTTAAAAGTGATCACTGTTTAGATACACAATATTTGTTTTAGCTTGAATTCAAATTCAGTAAGTATGTTGCAGTTTTTCAGTTCATCTCATAAGTTATTCCACATTTTGTAGATGTTCAGTCAAACAGGAGGGGGTATCAAAGTGGCTTCTAGTGTGATTCTTGTGTAATCTGCTAAAATTTTCCAGGCAATGTCTTAGGTCAGCATCAGCATTACAGTGAAGTGCTCATACACAAGTCTGAGAAGGTCCAGATATTACTACCCAGCTAGTTATGATTAAAAACTTGAATTATGACAGTAAACTTCAAAGATTTTTTTTTTTTTCCGGAGGCTTGTAGGAGGAAAAAAAAAGTGACATAGTACCAGCTTCCAAAATACTCAAAAGTACTGACAAATTTGATGCACAGTGACACTCAAACTTAATTGGTTCCAGAAGGCTGTTCAATTGCCGATCTGTTCGAGTACAGAACAAACTTTTCCCAACCAGTTTTCTTTTTGGTTGGCTGTTATCACTAACCCTCTTAGGCTCCATGATGACTTATTTATAAAAATAATATAAAAAGAACACCATAAACTGCGAAGGAACATGAAATAGTTTACAGCTAAGTTCTGGTGGCAGGATGTGTTTGTTTGGTCGAGTGCTGAGCAAAGAGTTGACTACCGAGCGATTTGTTTACTGAACAAAGCATTTGAATACTGAATTGTTCGAGTACAAAGCTGTTCAAGTACCAAGGTTCCATTGTAGATAGATGTTAAATTGGACCCAGGAAAAAGGGAAACGGAAATTTAAAAAATAAAATGAGCAAAAGACACATGAGAAAGAACTACCTTCATTAAAGGAGGCGATGGTAGAGGATAATGCCACATATGAATTCATATTCTCTCACCTTAATGTTTGTTATATCTTAATGTATCTAACTTTTACTTTTTATTTTGGGTATTCTGCCATGATTTTTGGAGACTTGGAATCTGTTTCTATACTGTTTTCCTGGTACAAGTATGTTTACAAACGTTATAAGGAATCTTTCATGGCCAGGAGTTTAGCTACTTAAATGAATGCAATTAGTAATAGATATAAACCCATTCTTTTTCAAATTCACTAGCCATAACCCTTTGGGGGTCAGTCACTTACAAGTATGTCATTGCAGCCAGGGTCGGTCACGTACTTGTACACCTAAATTCTAGCGCCTTCAAATCTAGTGGAAGAAAGCTAGCAGGCCTTCATATGAAAGAATGGGTCTGTGTGGTCAGTGTGCGCAGTATAAAAAAATCCTGAAGCACGCTGTGCATAATGAGGAAAAAAAACTTCGACTGTGTTTTTGGTTTAAAACAGCGAATTCCTAGTGCATTTTCGTATGGTATTTATGGTTGTGTTCTCATTTCCTTGGTCTCATTTGACAGAATGGAAGATATATTACAGAATTAGAGGTGATTTTGATTGGTTTCACGATGACAAGTACCTTTAAATTGAGCTCAAAGTAGCGGAAATGATCGATTTTTTGCCGATGTTCAAGAGTAAACAAATCAAGCCACATCTCTAATACACGTCAACTGGTGAGTCTTATATACTTCCACAAGTGTGCTGATATAATTTATACTGTTTTACAATGATGTAGTAGTATACTGACAGAAAACCTTCTATTTTCTCTGAGAATAAAAATTCAAAATGTAAGTAATGTAAGAGGGGCCTAGAGACATGACTAATGAACAGATAAAATGTTATTTTAGTGCCACGAATTTCTGTCTTGTTTATTCTGGACCCTATTTCAAAATTGGCATCTTTTTTTAAATTTGTGTGAAATTGCCCAAATTGCCAATTTCTGACCACTTTATTGGGTAGTTGAAATCGGTAAATGGGCAGATTCTTGTACTCAATCGACAGAAGAAATGGAGTTCTAGGGAAATAGCTATGATTTTAGTCAACTGCAACATTGGAATTGGCCGAAAATAGGGCTCAAAGTGGGCGAAATCACCCACTTTGAGGCCGCTAACTTTGCGAGAGCATAATTCCATAAGTTTTTCATCAGATTTCATACTTTTGGTGTCATTATGATTGGAAAAAGATTCTCTATCATTTCATAAGAAAAAATAATTTATTACTTTTTTTTTTTTTTTTTTTTTTTTTTTTTCAAAAAATTTTCGACCCTGAGAACGAGTTTGGGAGAGGGCCTCTCGACCCTCAAAGGGTTAATGGGGCCTGTTAGTACATATTAACACCAATCTAGAATTGGAGAATGGCATAGCCAACAAGTGGTTACAAAGAAAAATAGGAAAACAAAATTTTTTTATTACGACATTTCATGTGCATGAGGCTCATGAGGTACTGTACTTTAAACATCAAAACAAACAACAAACTTATAGAGCTGAGAATTGGTTGAGTCAAGTGCTGGGAAAGGGTGAGATTTAAAGAATGTAAGTGCAATAAGGAATGCCACTGTTCACCATTGGGCTGACTTTTTTTTTTTTTTTTTAATTAAGTGATTTTTTTTAAGAATTTAGCAATATTAGATGAAAGTTCTTTAACTTTTCACTGTAAGCTAATTATTTTTATGACATTTAACACATTTGTTACAGGGAAATTGGGGCACTTTGTCGTGAGCGTAAGGTTTTCTTTCATACTGATGCTGCACAAGCTGTTGGTAAAATCCCCATCAGTGTTCAGGATCTAAATGTTGACCTTCTGTCTGTCAGGTAAGAGTGGTTATCTGTGTTAAAATTAAAAAAAAATAATAATATTACTTTTGAGATGTATGTCCATATTGTGTGTTATCAGCACAAGGCCTACAATGACTTCTGCAGAGAATGAAACTAAACTCAAATTGAGGTGAGGTAATGATCAAGAATCACATTATAAAATGAGTATTAATGGGTGTGATTGGTTTTTAATAAAATTAAAAATCTGCCTAATATTAAGATTAATAAAGCTTTCATTAACCATTTCAGTGGATGTCACATAGATCTATGTTACTGAGGCCAGGGCCACTCATGTAGATATATGTTTTGAGCACAGCTCCCTTAATTGTGAGCTGTAAATTTTGGCCTAGATACAAGAGAATGAGTCTATGCGGTGAGTATGTACAGTATAAAAAAATCCTGCTCCATGTGGTTCATGATGGGAAAAGCACAACTCTGACCTTGTGTTTGGTTTAAAATAGCAACTTTGAAGTTTTCCAGGATGGTTTACATGGTTTTATTGGCTGTTTCTTGATATCTTTTGACAGAAGACATACTACTGAAATAAGAGATGATTTTGGTTGGATTCATGACCAGAAGTCACTTGAAATTGGGCTTAAATTAGTGGAAATATTAGATTTTTGCAGATTTTCCTGTGGACGGATTAGGCCCTCTTACACAACAGGTCTGTATTTGAGGCTTTTAACCCGTAAACGGTCCAAACGTATATATACGTTCACTACCCCAGTGCCCCGAATATTTTGAAAAATAAAAAAATTGTCTTTTTTATATAGAAAAAAAAGAGCACATTTTTCTGAGTGTTATAGGATAAAAAAATTTTTTTTAGGGTCAGTACTTACTGAGATATGAGGCCGCAAGGTTGGCACTTGGCGACCACCTGACAGCAACATGGAGTGCTGCCGCTTGCAGAAACTGCATATTTACCATTTTTTCCATTTTTTTCTTTGCTTTTCTTGGTTTTCATATGATTCTTATGTTTTACACTAATTCTTTTGATTTCAATGTTAATTGTTGCTTATACACCAATAATATATACAAAATTATTATCATTTTGTCACAGACACACATGTACACAGACAGGTGATTTTGCACACCTGGCTGAATCACACATTATTATCTACAACTATATACAAGTATTTACATGTTCCACCTGTGTTTCTAGAACTCCACGATTGTATGATACTCCATGAAGCATGGATTCATACAGAGTGCCACCCCACACTGGTTACAAATGTATTGTGTGTCCTGCTGCTGTTGGGGTCGTTTTGTGGTGGTAGCACACACAACACTTTTTCTGGAAATGCTTCTTCTTTGGAGTAGGTGGTACTGGTACCAAGTAGTGACAGTTAGGGATGATTCGGTCTGGCACTTCCCCCACTGGCTGTGGTTGTGGTTGGAGGACAGGTTGTGGTGTGACAGGTCGCTGTTGAGGGGCAGGTACAGGTGTGGTACCATACTTTTTTGCTATCTGTTTTACGACATTCGGGGAGAATTCTGCAAAACGTTGTCGTTTTCCAGTCTTTATTTCATACATATTGAATGCATTGAGCACTGCAATGTCTACAAGGTGAAAAAACAGTTTTATATACCACTTGCGACTCCTACGCACACAGTCAACGAACCCTATCATCATATCACACTTGTCAATGAGTCGCATATTGTTTGTATAGTTGACAACAGCAGCTGGCTTGACAATATGTTCATTGGTCTCCCTGTTCACTTTGTACCATCTCATTTCTGTGGATGGTTGACAGCAATGTCACTTCCCGTTTGTCATGCCACGTCAGTGCCATGATGTCATTGGCATGAAATGCTTGCACTGCACCTTCAATACTGCCTCCACTGAACCTTGGCATATGTTTTCTATTCCTTCTCACTGTTCCACATATATCAGTAATGTTCACACGTAGGAAATCAGCAAGCATAGGGCTGGTATACCAGTTGTCTGTGTACAATGTATGGCCCTTGCCAAGGTATGGTTCCATCATTTTTTGAACAACATCACCAGAAATGCCCAACATGTGCCTGGTATCGTCGAGTGTGTTTTTCCTGGTATATACAATCACATCCAACACAAGACCACTCTCACAGTCACACACAAAATGTTTTATACCAAAGCGATGATGTTTGCTCGGTATATATTGTTTGAATGACAAGCGTCCCTTGAACAGAATCAAGGACTCGTCAACAACAATGTTCTTGAAGGGGTAAAAGTAGGCACTGAATTTCTGCTTCATATAGATACACTTCCCAGATTTTGTATAGAAGGTCATTTCTGTTGGGCCTATTCCTGTCTGAGAAGTGCAGCATTCATAGCAACAGAATGAATCTGTTGCAGGGAAGGAGGTCACGGAAGACAGGAGTACTGATAAATAAGTCTCTGGCCCAGTAGTTACGTATATTGTTCTTATAGATATGCAGCATAAACATGACAGTGGCAAGGAATGAATACATTTCATCCACTGTTGTATTTTTCCATCTGCGCAGCCGTGACGATTCCCCAACCTCTGGTGTATTGTCCATGATATAGCGGTAATAATTGCTCGTCTGGGTCACTATCAAGTTCATTATAGGCTCGTCAAAGTATAACTGGAAAAAATCTAACTCTATAGACTCATTCGTTATGGGACATTCTGGCAGGATGCCACTTCCACTCGCATCAAAATCAAAAGGCTGTGGCACGAATGTACTTTGTGTCCAGTTCCACTCTCGGTCACATGGTGCAGGGTGGACCTCTGGCATGGGGCATGGGGGAGCAGGAGGGGGGACAGGAGTGGAGGCAGCACATGGTTGAGGGGATGCCGGGCGGTCCTTTGTCTGTCCACCCACCGCGCCATGTGGTCCAGGCACCATGCCACCCACCACTATTTCCTCCATCCCCGCATATTCACCTTCATGATCAATTTCACTATCAGTGGCAGGGGTTTTGGATCGTGACCTGCCACGACCCTTGCCGCCAACTGCAAATGGCACACTGCCTGAACGTAGGTAATGACGCCTGGAAGTACGCTTCACTGGTGAATAATGATCACTGTCACTAGACGAATCCTCTAATGGCATAAAATCAATCTCATTGTCACTATCACTAAAACACCGGGAAAATGATAGTTTCCTATTGCGTAGTTGCCTATGTGTAACACTCGCCACTCTAGAGGTGCTTGGCCCAGGGTCTTGTGTGGCCACACTGGCCACCCCAGAAGTGCTTGGCCCAGGGTCTGGTGTGGCCACACTGGCCACCCCAGAAGTGCTTGGCCTAGGGTCAGGTGTGGCCATACTGGCCACCCTAGAGGTGATGGGCTGAGGGTCATCTGGGTTATCGTCTATATTTTCACTATTTCCTTGATTATTAATAGCCACATCTGTGTCACATCCACTAAACCAACCTTCCATATCACTTTCCTCGAATAATAGAGTGCTAATACGACGAGGCGTGAGTGAATCACGAGGATGTTCCATGATGTTGACCCAAGATGGAGCTGAATGTAACTGGTCCTACCATGCGGTACCCAGGCATCCCAGATTTTTTTGATACTGCGCACACTGAGTGCACACATCCATTCTCTCATGTCTACATGCAGGCCTATCGAGCCAATTTTGAAGGAATGAAAAATAAAACGTAAATATACATTTGGGGCAGTAGTGGTAAAAATGTATACAGCGGACCCCCGCATACCGTTGGCCTTACATAACGTTAAATCCGCATACCGCTACATTTTATCGCTAAGATTTTGCCTCGCATACCGCTAAAAAACCCGCTCAACGCTGTTCGTCCGAGACGCGTCTAATGTGCGCCCTTAGCCAGCCTCACATGTTCCGCCGGTGGCATTGTTTACCAGCCAGCCTCCGCGGTAACATCCAAGCATACAATCGGAACATTTCGTATTATTACAGTGTTTCTGGTGATTTTATCTGCAAAATAAGTGACCATGGGCCCCAAGAAAGCTTCTAGTGCCAACCCTACAGGAATAAGGGTGAGAATTACTATAGAGATGAAGAAAGAGATCATTGATAAGTATGAAAGTGGAGTGCGTGTCTCCGAGCTGGCCAGGTTGTATAGTAAACCCCAATCAACCATCGCTACTATTGTGGGCAACAAAAAGGCAATCAAGGAAGCTGTTCTTGCCAAAGGTTTAACTGTGTTTTCGAAACAGAGATCGCAAGTGATGGAAGATGTTGAGAGACTCTTATTGGTGTGGATAAATGAAAAAAAGATAGCAGGATATAGCATCTCTCAAGTGATCATAAGTGAAAAGGCTAGGAAGTTGCATGACGATTTAATTAGAAAAATGCCTGCAACTAGTGATGATGTGAGTGAATTTAAGGCCAGCAAAGGTTGGTTTGAGAGATTTAAGAGGCGTAGTGGCATACATAGTGTGATAAGGCATGGTGAGGCTGCCAGTTCGGACCACAAAGCAGCTGAAAAATTTGTGCAGGAATTCAAGGAGTACATAGACAGTGAAGGACTGAAACCTGAACAAGTGTTTAATTGTGATGAAACAGGCCTGTTTTGGAAGAAAATGCCAAGCAGGACGTACATTACTCAGGAGGAAAAGGCACTCCCAAGACATAAGCCTATGAAAGACAGGCTTACTCTGTTGATGTGTTCCAATGCTACTGGTGATTGCAAAGTGAAGCCTTTATTAGTGTATCACTCTGAAACTCCCAGACCGTTCAGGCAAAAGAATGTCCTCAAGGCTAATTTGTGTGTGCTGTGGAGGGCAAACAGTAAGGCATGGGTCACTAGGGACTTTTTCTATGACTGGTTACACCATGCATTTGCCCCCAATGTGAAAGATTACCTAACTGAAAAGAAATTAGAACTTAAGTGCCTTCTGGTGTTAGACAATGCCCCTGGTCATCCTACAGACGTGGCAGAGCGACTTTATGGGGACATGAAATTCATTAAGGTGAAGTTTTTGCCTCCTAATACCACTCCTCTCCTGCAACCCATGGACCAGCAGGTTATTGCAAACTTCAAAAAACTGTACACAAAAGCT